TTAATGTTAAAAAACGATGTATTTACGGGCATGATAAACATATTTTTAAATCTCCAACTGTATCCTCTAAATAACACTTTTCCATTGTATTTTAAAATAGAAAAAATTATTAAATATATAATGATATATTTCTTTGCAGCCACTATTTTACAGAAGTTTGGTAACACAACTGATCTGAGCAAACCCGACAACTATATGAAACGCTGGTTTAATACAAGTGCTCAGCAAGTGGTGTAAATGCATGCAAGAAAATACATGCTGCTGATTTTTTTATATTATATATGTATAACACATTTAACGTTTTTATTGTTAATTATAATATATAATTATAATATAATGATATAATAGTTATATATGAAATTAATATATATCAAATATCAATAAACTTCACATATTTTACAGAATAATATGTTATATTTTCAATTATTTATAAATTTAATTATCATAAATAATAATAACAATTATCCTCCTAATACTATAATAAAGGAAAATTCGCCATATTGCTAGGACGATTTTTTGACGTCAACAAACAGTCAAATTTTGTAACCAAAAATCATCAGTTGACTTTTTTTGCTGTGATGTAGTTTTGATGTCAAAATGATGTCATTTTGACTACAATGTGTTCCTTGGGAACTTGCATGCTCTAAGATATATGAATTTTGTTTCATTATTACTTGGCATACCAAACAGATAGGGATTATTAAATGATACTCCTGCCAACTGCCAACTGTCGATATTTCAAAATTGTTTCTATTGATTCCGTCATCTTTGAGTTCAATAAAACAAGTACGGTACGATTTAATTTTCCACGTATCGTAAATTTTTAGCTGCTTCCTTTTCTGATTTTTGTAATTTTTTGTACTCTTTATCTGTGTCTGTTATTTTAATTGAATTTTTATAATCACTTATTAAAGTTCTTTCTAGTTCTCCTGCTCGCTTCCGATTAAAAATCTGTATAATAATCAATGTTACTTTAGAGAGTGATTTCCAAGCATTAAATGAAAATTGATTTTGTAATATTTCCATGTTAGATGCTTTCTTTTCTTCTAAATACTGATTAAATTTTATTATGTCTGATGATTGTGGAAGTTCAACCTTTTTGTATCTATTTTTTGTAGATAATGTTTCTGCAACGGTTTTGTTTACAGTATAACCATATTCCATCTCCAAGATTTTTTTGAAATTTTCGACTGTTATTTGTTTTTCTTTATCATGTTGCCTAATGCATTCCGTAATTAAAATCTTACACAATTTTTTAAGCATTGTTCCTAAACATGAAGCATTATATGGCACATCATACGTTTCAGTATTTTCATTGTACTTAGCAAGAATGTTTACTGCATGTATGGCAATATCATAATGCTTTGGATCAAATAACATTTGTAGTTCTTTTATTTGTGGTTCAATTTCTTTTAATTCTTGTAAATATCGACCAAGAAGTCGTAATTGCGCTCGTATATGGTCATCTTGATGTTGTAATCTATGCCTCTGATAAAGATAATTGCCGTGCAATATTATAAGTAAGTCGTATCTTATCAAATCACGGATATTGCCCTCTCTTATTATTGGAGTTATTCTTGTTTTTAATTTGACACATGCCCGATTATGGACTGATTTTGCAGCACTTTGTGTTAATTGCATTACATTTCGAAATGTGTCTTGTTTTTTAGCACATAAACGGAATTGATGTCTAAGGTTATTTTTAGAGTAGTGTCCTCCACATTTAGGACATGGTAAAAAATTAGATCCCTTCAGCTTTGTTTTATTATTAGGTCTTCTTACTACAACTATAGTAGCATCATTTAAATCTGAATGTGTATTAAATTTATAATTTCCTTTCTTTCTTAAAGAACCTATTAATGTTCTCCGTTCACAACTATTTTTGGGTAGTATCAAAAATTTCTTTACTTCTATTTCATTAGCATGTTTTGATTCAAAGTGGTGAGCAATTTTACTTTGCATAGTATTACAATAAACACAAAAATTAGATTTTTTATCTTCTTTTCGTCCTCGAGATTCTTCTACATATAAATCGTCACTTTTGCAACAATTAGTTTTTTTCTTTCTTTTACAATGGAATCACTTTTAGATGAATTTTTTGATTGATTTCTAGATTCTTCATGACTTGTAGATTCATTTAAAAATTCTAATGTAGACTTGTTTGGCGATGATTTAGAATTATTATTATAAATTGATTGGCAATTTCTGAAATTTCAGAAATTATTTCTTGTTTCGTAATTATTATTTTTTTTTTATTATCAATGTATTTGTCTGATTCAGTTTCATCAAATTCTTCATTTTGACTAGATGGAACGAAATTAGAATCATCATCTTCTATATCACTATCATCAGACTCATTTTTATTATTAATCTCATTAATCTCATTAGTTACATTTCTATCATTAATTTCATTAATTTTACTTTTATCATTGATTACATTAATTTCATTAATCTTATTTTTATCATTAATCAAATTTTTATTAATTGCATTAATCTCATCAGTCTTATTTTTACCATTAATCACATTTTTATCATTAATCTTATTATTTTCATTTTTATCATTAATCTCATCAGTCTTATTTTTACCATTAATCTCATTATTTTCATTGCTATCATTAATCTCATCAGTTTTATTTTTACCATTAATCACATTAATCTCATTGGTTACATTTTTATCATAAATTTCATTAATCTTATTTTTATCATTAATTACTTTAATCTCATCAGTCTTATTTTTCTCATTAATCACATTTTTATTAATCGCATTAATCTAATCAGTCTTATTTTTACCATTAATCGCATTTTTATCATTAATCTCATCACTTTGATTTTTACCATTAATCACATTAATCCCATCAGTTTCATTTTTATCATTAACCACATTAATCTCTACTATCTTATTTTTATCATTAATCTCTCTCTTATTAGTTTCATTAGTCTTGTTCCGATCATTAATCTCATTTTTGCAATCTAAAAGAAAGAAAACTTATTATCATATTATGTTCTTATTATATCTTTAAGACAATGATACAATTCATTCATGTGCCATACAAGATTTATGGTGCCTTCTTGCGAAAAAATACAAAATGTCATATTTTATATCGTATATAAATATTTATATAGATATATAATATTAAATATATCAGATTTAGTTATCACAGTTTATATATATTTGCTTTATATAAACTATAGCTTTATAAAAAAAATATTTATTTTGTTACTTTTAGACTGATTATTCATAAAAAAAATTAAACTAAGACATATAATTGAACGATGTAATTAATAACTAATTGTAAGTAAAAAGGTTAAATATTATATAATTTTAATATTTATTTATACAATTCTACATTAATAATTTTATTTTAAAAAATTGTAGAAATAATTCTGAAATAATGTTTCTGTATCAATTTTTATATTAATTTTTATACTAAAATTATTTTTAACAGTATTTATCCAAAATTTATCCTGAATTAACAGTATTAACAGAGATATTCTGAACAAGTTTTTACAGTTTATTATATAATTATAAAATATTAGAAATTAAATATTTATATTAATAAATATATATATATTAAATTATTTTATATTTTAGAATAATTCTAGACTACACGAAAATATATATTATATGTATTTTGCATTATTTCAAAATAAATATATTATTTTAAAGAAATAGACAATTATATTGTAACTACAATAGACCAATTTTAAATACACATGTATGAAATATTTGAAAACCTAACTTGAATATTCTATTTTATCATTACAATATAATAGAATTATAATAGAATTATAAAAGAGCTTATTTGATATATCTGACCAATTCAGAATTATTTTGTAATATATTAATATTTATAGAAATTAAAGAAATAATATTTTACTACTTCTACATTCATTAATATGCAAATAAGCATGTTCGCACAAATATTTAAATAATGTAAAGTATAAATGTGTAAAAGTAACATTAACATACTTTTCCTTTCTAAATCAGAGAATAACTGTTGTAAATTTGTACAAAATTTTTTATTTTTATCTTTTATAAATAAAGTATTATTTATGGACACAGATGGCTTCGACGTCATTGTCAATGTTCTTAAAGAAATAGGTTTCTCTTTTATTGGCAAATTCGTTGAATTCGTAATAGAAAAAGAATCAAGACTTTTTTCTAAAATAGATGTATTCAGCAACTTGTTCTTTGCAAATATATCACAGTTTATATTTTCCTTTTTCTTTTAAATAGAAAGTTTAATGGATTGATGTTTGTTAATTGATGTATCGTTTCTTTTGGACGAAAGATAACGTTTATCTGCAATGAGATTAATAATTTAATAACAATTATTTGCTTTCTATTAATAATTTCCTTTTAATTATATGTATAATTGTATTATATGTAGTTCATAATATGTATCAATGTATAAAGCATATAAATATTTTATTTTGCAAAAACTTTAATTGTAATGTTAAAATAAAGAATTACAAAGCGAATAAAATATACCTACTAGTACCAATAAAATTAATAAGAATTTTCTTTAACACAAATTAAATAAATTATAAAATAAAATTTTTATTTGAAAGGTATAAATTAGCATATGTGATATTTAAAAGATAAATATTTTAAAAAACAGTACAATTAGTAAATAGTATTGTATTGTGGAAATTGACAAAAGATCTATCCAGCAAATACAAATTATAACATTAATTATAATATTATATTACTATTCCTTTGTGTTTGCTAGATAATCAAATAAAGTCATTTTTATTACAAGATATTGTCAAATAGGTAACATTAGATATATATTATATATGTAAATCTTAACTTTGAAATATTTTTTAATATACATACCAAAAGACGTAAATAATGATTTTTTATTTTCTACTCAATTTGTTTTTTTTAATAAAATTTTTGGTGACTCTTTAGTTAGTTTTTCTTGTATATCTATTAATATTTGTTTATCGTCTGAAAATAAATAAAATCTCTTTCATATATTATTCTAACCTATAAAACTTTATAACCCATAATGTCACAAGTAAACATTAAGTATTTATATTAAAATATTATATGCACTTTGAAATATCATTACACTTAAAAGTAAAAGAAATAATTGTAAAACTTTAATAGGCATACCTAAACTGCAAAGAAGCTTGCCTGTAGATATCATTCCGTTTCCTAATTTAATATAGCATTTTCCATTTCGTTTATTTCTTATTTCACAAGTTTCAACTAATTGTATAACTTTTTTTCTTTCCCTCTAGTGTGAATTTTGACTAAAGAAAACATCTTACTTTAAATATTTCTTTGCATATAAAAGAATTGAAATAAAGTAATCACCACGTAGGTTAACACCATAGATGCAGTAAGACATAGACGACTCAGAGCGTTAGAAAAATGCCGCAAATTTAGAAAGAAAAAGAAAGCTTTAAGGGGGAAGCCTCGTGTAACCGGTTAAAAAAATTGAAAAATTTTTTTTTGCTTTAATCAATAGTAATCCATGTAGAAAATATATTCCCAAAGTTACAGAACAAAATTTGAAGTTTAAGGAGTCCACAGCCCATTTCTTGCGCGCAGATATACAAGCGCGCGGCGGGGCGCTTGGTTAACGGTAACATAAGATATAAGATTATAGAATTTGTAACTGTTTTTGGCGCGTTTTCGGAAGTACTTATTTGAAAGTGCAATTTGGAGAGTGCAAGCAAAGTGTGAAATTCGAAGAAGCAGGAAATTGGAGCCTCAGTTTTAAACTTGTTGTTACACTTTTCTTTTTTACTTTTCAATACCGAAAACTTTAAACGCGTTTTTCTCGAAACCAGTTTTTGGTCAATTGGCGGGAAAGATTACTCAAAAACTATTCGATCAATCGAGTTGTCCCTGTGTATACATGTAGTTTAATAATATAAATTGTCGATGAACCTATAAAATTAGTAAAATAATTAATTTAAACAATTTTTATTGCATAAATAACATTTGACATTTTGTGGGTCAAAATCGCAATTTTTTTTTAAAGTGCTGCCATTTTTTCAATTTTCAACTTTTTACTTATTTTTTAGGTTCATCGATTAGATAATTTCATAAAAAAAAAAAAATTTTTTTTTTTTGTTTCAAACGAGTGCAAAAGACGCTACAACTCCCGCCAATTCACAACTCCAGTGACGAGGCTGCGTCAACATTTGTTTATAGTGGCTCTATAATCAATTATTTTTAAACAAAAAAATTTTTTTTATTTTTTAATATATGTTATAAAACACCAAAAAGTTAAAAAAAAATCTGTTGCATTGTTTCTTAAAAAAAATTCCTAAAAATCACCTTCGTTTTAGCGATTCATACGAGACTCTCCTTTCTCTCCCTTAAAGACCGTTACCTAATCTTTCATATAAGAAAAACAGATTTTATTTCGCGTATATATGTGAAAAATTTTCTACAACGCATTAACTATTCACGATTAATCAAAATGCAGAAAATGATTTATAACAAAGTAATAGCAGTAAAGGTGATTTATCGCAATGTAATGGTAGATTCCAAGTCATATGCTATAAATTTTTATCTTTTACAGTGTCAAGTAAAACGTTTCGCGGCATATTTAATCTATACGGAACTTTTGTTTTGTGAAAATTGTCTACAGTGTGTTAACTCTTGTCGTTCAATAAAAATCGAGTAATTTTAATTTATAAGCATGTAATAGCAGGTTCCAAGACATCTGCAAAATATCCTTTTTTTTTTAAAAACACTGAAGTAGTGTGTTGCTGTAAGAAATTTTTTCAATTTTGTCTGAACTTTACATGGAAAAAGCTCCCCAGTACGCATTAACTTTTGCATTTAAACATAAAACTAGAAACATATTTAATGATTATAATAGCAGTATAATAGCAGATTCTACTGCATGTGACAAATATCTGTCTTGCAGTGCCAAGTAACATTTCGTAGTATATAATTTTTAATCTATATTATAAGCATTTGTTGACAAAATCGTTCCCAATAAGTTAACTGTCGTTATTCAATTATAAATTGAGAAAATGTTATTTACAATTATGTAATGGCAGTTTCCAGAACATGAACAAATTTTTTATTTGCAATACGAGATAACATTTCACGGCATATTCTCTTCAATCTGTATGATATTTCTACTGTGAAGTATCTTCCTCAATACACTAATCACCCACGACTAATTTATAAAATGAGTAAAGATGATTTATAGCAATGTAATGGCAGATTTCAAGTCATGCAATAAATTTTTATCTTTTACAGTGTGAAGTAAAACGTTTTTCGAGGCATATTTAATCTATACGGAACTTTTGTTTTGTAAAAACTATCTACAGTGTGTTAACTCTTGTCATTCAACAAAAACTAAGTAAATATAATTTATAAGCATGTAATGGTAGGTTCCAGGACGTCTGCAAACTATCTTTTTTTTAGAAAACACTGAAATAGTGTGTTGCTGTTAGAAATTTTTTCAATTTTGTCTGAACTTTATATGGAAAAGGTTCCCCAATACGCATTAACTTTTGCATTTAACCATAAAACTAGAAACATATTTAATGATTATGTATAATGATTATGTATAAATTCTACAGCATGTGACAAATGTGTTGCAGTGCCAAGCGTTTCGTATATATATAGCATATACTTTTTAATCTATACTAAACTGTCGCTGGAAAAATCTTTCACAATAAATTAATTCTTGTTATTTAGTTATAAAATAAGAAAATATTATTTATAATTATGTAATGGTACCAGGACATGGACAAATTTTTGTTTTGCTTTACGAAATAACATTTCATATACTCTTCAATCTATATACCCAGACAGCACACATGTCCAAAATACATCCAAAGGATATCCAGAGGACGTCCTGTCGTCCCAAAAACGTCTTCGAGATATCCTTTGGACGTCTTTTAGATATGTTGTGCTGTCTGGGTAATATATCTATTATGAAGGATTCTTCATAATGTACTAATTACTCACGATTATTTATGAAATTGTCCACATCTTTTGTCGTTTAGCAGAAAACGAATAAATATTCTAATGTGTATATAATAGCAAGTTCCATGACATCTGTGGAATGTTTTTTTCTTGAAAAACAGTACAAAATAATATATTAATAATTAAAATTTTTTTTATTCTGTATACAGGGTGTTTTATAATGTCCGTGCCAGCGCTCGTGTGCGGGTAGAATGCGGTAAACTGAATAGAAAAGTCCTGTACCATTTTGCAATTTTTGCAATAATAATTGAGATATTAATTAAAAAGGATTGACGAATAATCGCGCGTTGCACGCGACTAGACCATGGGCTGTACACTCTAGGCGTGACAGCAACGAGGATCACACGGCAATGAAAAATAACAACATGTATTACTCATGCTCTTGCCATGCGTTGTTATTTTTCGTTGCCGTGCGATCCTCGTTGCTGTCACGCTTAAAGTGTACAGCCCATAATCTAGCCGCGTGCAACGCGCAATTATTCGTTAATCCTTTTTAATTAATATCTCAATTATTATTGCAAAAATTGCAAAACAATAAAGGACTTTTCTACTCAGTTTACCGCACTCTACCCGCACACGAGTGTTGGCACGGACATTATGAAACACCCTGTATATAGTCTTTCGCCGTGCGTTAAATCTTGCCGTTCTATCAGAGAACGAATAAAACGATTTTGATTATGTAATGACAGATTTCAGGACATACGACAAATTTTTATATTTTAGAATATGAAGTCATTTCGCTGTATACATTCTTTAATACAAATAGTATTTTTGTAGAAGGATGTTATGTAATGGCAGATTTCACTGCGACGTCTGCTGTATTTTTGCAGCGGAACAATGCGAGATATTATTTTCTGTGCAATTTTTTTATTTTGTATAAAATTTAAATTTAATAGTGTTAAAAAAGTTCCTGTTGTATATAATGTCTTGGAATCTGCCGTTGGACATCTGTTTTCCGGGACAGTCCTAGAAGCTGCCGTTAGACATATTTGTTTTCCAAGACGATCCTGGAAATAACCACTGTCCTGGAATCTACCATTAGATAGAATGTCTTGGAAAACTTCAAATTTAAATATTTTGAAAAATAAATTGAACAATTTAATTTTTTGTTGTTGCAATAGATTCAGAATGTTGTAGCGCATTAAAATATACTGAAAAAATTGAGTTTTTTACATGGTCCCGGAATCTGCCATTAGACAAACCTATATACATATGAATATATTATTTTATTAATTTCGTGAGAAAAGATACATTTTTTTTGCATGTGGATAAAAAAACGTTTTTTTAATCGTTTCTTAAAGATGTTTAGTACCTATTATTGAAATATTAGGAATTTAACAAAAATTTTACAGATTGTTCTTATATATGTTCGGAGACTTATGACAAAATCCGGAATCGATACACTGAAGAAATCAAAAGTTATAAAAATTTTAATTTGCAACGAATTTACCCGTGACTTTATGGAACCTGTATTAATAAAAAAAAATGGAAAACTAATTTCTTTATGTATTTAGAAATTAATTTTGTTTATTTGATTCTGCTTATTTGAATTTCTGTTTAGAGTTTTCTGAAAAGAAAAGAGGAGGAGAAAGGATATTTGAAGAAAAAAAGTGGAGAAAGGATGTCTAAAGGTTTGAAGAAAGGAAGTGGAGAAAGGATGTTTAAAGGTTTGAAGAAAGGAAGTGGAGAAAGAAAGTGGAAAGGATATTTGAAGAAAGGAAGTGGAGAAAGGATATTTGAAGAAAGGAAGGAAAAGAAATTTTGGAAGAAGAAATAAGGACAAAGTTAGAAAAAAAAAATGGAAAAGAGAAAAGAATTTTAAAGCTTTCATAGGAGACTGCTTTGCTCACGGTTTTTGAGCCGTGGTTTTCCCGTGAGCCGAAGGGAGAATGCCGAAGCAGTGGGCTTTTTACGCAGAGAAGTCCTTTTTACGGCGATGGGTCCACGGTAAATACCCCTCTCTTGTCCAAATTAGAAAGCAGAAAAAACTAGAAAAATTTGAGAAAAAAGAAATCGATTGGATACTGAAGATGGTGCTCGGTAACCTGCAGCAAAAGTAGCTCAGGGTAGAGCAAGAGACCATATAGGTGTGGAATCGACGCTGAAGAGTTTGACGACAAAATCTTTCATGATACTAAAGGTGTTTGATTGGGAATTTCGACGCTTGGTAACCTGTAGCAGTAGCTCAGGGTAGAGCAGGAAGTCGTAATATCACCCTGGAATCAACACTTGAAGACATGAAGACTACAGTCAACTCATTAAGCCAAGACAATTGTCGGGACGACAATTTTGAAGGAAGGGCAGTGTTGCGCCCAGGCTTTTTCGTCGCTGATGCTGCGTGCAGTCAGCTGAGAGACCGATCGATA